AGATATCTTGGACTAATACTTTCTAATAACTCTGCAGCCTCTCCCCAGTAAGATCAAAGCTTTATTAGAATTTAAATTCCCCAAAACCAAGAAGCTCATGCGTAGCTTTCTTGGTTCTGTAAATTTTTATGCACGGTTTATCGCGAACGTTACTGATCTTACAAGCATCTTATCCGACTTCCTTAAAAAAGTCTGAAGGAACCTCTTGAACTTTCCGACGTAGCTCGGGAAAAGTTTAATGAGATTAAAAGTATCTTTTCGAAAGACCCTATACTTAAGATTCCAGATATTAATAAAACATTTTGTTTAAGAACTGATGCCTCCAATACTGGCTTAGGTGCGGTGTTACTACAATACCATGATGGTACTCCCTTCCCTGTATGCTTCCTAAGCCAGAAACTCCTTCCCGCAGAAACGAGATACTCCACCATAGAAAAGGAATGTTTGGCCCTTGTGTGGGGTATCTCCAAACTTAAATTTTATTTGCTGGGAAAAGAATTCATTTTAGAAACGGACCACAAACCTTTGATATACCTAGAAACTTTTAAGGGAACCAACAGTCGCCTCTTGAGGTGGACATTGGCACTCCAGGCATTTAAGTTCCATATTGTGTATATCAATGGTTCATCCAATTATTTCTCTGACTGGTTAAGTCGTGACAGTCAGTAGATGAATTGTTGCCTTACGCGACTTCCACATGTTAGAACTTTTTCCTCGCCTATTCTTCTTATACAGTGGACCCCCGCATACCGTCAGCATCACATAACGTTTAATCCGCATACCGCTCGCTTTTATCGCAAAAATTTTGCCTCGCATACCGCTCAAAAACCCGCTCACCGCTGTTCGTCCGAGACGCGTCCAATGTGCGCCCTTAGCCAGCCTCACATGTGCCGCCGGTGGCATTGTTTACCAGCCAGCCTCCGTGGTAACATCCAAGCATACAATCGGAACATTTCGTATTATTACAGTGTTTTTGGTGATTTTATCTGCAAAGTAAGTGACCATGGGCCCCAAGAAAGCTTCTAGTGCCAACCCTACAGCAATAAGGGTGAGAATTACTATAGAGATGAAGAAAAAGATCATTGATAAGTATGAAAGTGGAGTGCGTGTCTCCGAGCTGGCCAGGTTGTATAATAAACCCAATCAACCATCGCTACTATTGGTGGTACAGCTGCTGCTGCTGCTGTACCACCGTCAGCTGCTGCTGCTGCTGCTGCACTGTCAGCTGCTGCTGCTGCTGCTGTAGCATCGTCAGCTGCTGCTGCTGTTGTACCACCGTCAGCTGCTGCTGCTGCTGTAGTACCGTCTGCTGCTGCTGTAGTACCGTCTGCTGCTGCTGTAGCATCGTCTGCTGCTGCTGTAGCACTGTCAGCTGCTGCTGCTGCTGTACCACCGTCAGCTGCTGCTGCTGCTGCACTGTCAGCTGCTGCTGCTGTAGCACCGTCAGCTGCTGCTGCTGTAGCACCGTCAGCTGCTGCTGCTGTTGTACCACTGTCAGCTGCTGCTGCTGTTGTACCACCGTCATCTGCTGCTGTAGTACCGTCTGCTGCTGCTGTAGCATCGTCTGCTGCTGCTGTAGCACTGTCAGCTGCTGCTGCTGCTGTACCACCGTCAGCTGCTGCTGTAGTACCGTCTGCTGCTGCTGTAGCATCGTCTGCTGCTGCTGTAGCACTGTCAGCTGCTGCTGCTGCTGCTGTACCACCGTTGTTGGTGTGGCTTATTGAGAATACCAAGAAACAATTAACCCCAGAGGATTTGCCACCCAGGATAACCCAAAAAAGTCAGTGTCATCGAAGACTGTCTAACTTATTTTTTCATTGGGGTCCTTAATCTTGTCTCCCAGGATGCAACCCACACTAGTCGACTAACACCCAGGTGAACAGGGAAAAATGCCTGGAACTAGTGCTCATATTGGTGAATTTAAAGCCAGCAAAGGTTGGTTTGAGAGATTTAAGAATCGTAGTGGCATACATAGTGTGATAAGGCCTGTTCTGGAAGAAAATGCCAAACAGGACCTACAGTACTCAGGAGGAAAAGGCACTCCCAGGACACAGTGTCTCGTCAGTCATTGCTGCATCTTCAATAAAGGTAAGTGTCATTTATTCTTCATTTAGTAGAGTAGTACATGCACAATTAATATTGTGCATGTACTACTCTACTATTGTGCATGTATCCTTCTCTTTGTGTGTAGGAAAATGTATATTTCATGTGGAAAAAAAAAATTTTTTCATACTTTTGGGTGTCTTGCACGGATTAATTTGATTTCCATTATTTCTTATGGGGAAAATTCATTCGCATACCCATCATTTCGCATAACAATGAGCCCTCTTGCACGGATTAAAGTCGCTATGCGGGGGTCCACTGTACTCCTTGACTATAAGTCTTGGTATGGGGGAGTGTGAGGGAAAAGTTCAATAATGGAGTAGGAGGGGTAATGTAACAATTTTTCATTGCCGCTACTTTTTAAAGGTAGGGAAAGTCCAGCCCCCCGCATTCCCCCCCCTTTTTTTTCCCCCCCCGAAAGTGATAGTTTGATTGCCGGCTGCTTGAAAGGGGGTCAGTCTAGCCCCCCCTACCCTTCCCCCCCCTTCCCCCCCCCCCAAAAAGGGGACTTGGGGCCCGGGCAAACAGTAAATACTCGACTCACAGCTCCCAAAAACTACCTTGAAAGGACGAGGGTCCCCTGCTTTCAACGATTAAAATTTAAGGGGGACGGACTAACGTTCTGAGGCGTCCAATTTCTGATCCCCTTACCCCGTTTGTGTATGCAAAGTAGCAGGATATAACCCCTCTATTTCAGGGGAAAAAACCTGCTTTCCTGTCATCTGGCGGATTTGATGGCAGGGGAAAACTGTGAAGAAAAGAGCCGGTGGGTTGTCTCAACACCAGGACCCCCCCCACATCGGCAAAAGGCTACGATTTCAACAAAAACGCAGTGTCACCAAAACCCGACACCCAAGTTTTATTATAATATTAGCTTGAATTCAGATATCATTTTTTATTTTTCATTTTCTTTAAGGTGGATTAATATTTCATATTTAAGTGTTTTTTTTTTATATTTTCAAATAATAAAATGTTATGTTTGTAAGTTTTTGTTTTTTTTTTTTTCATTAATTTTTCCCGAGAAAGGGGCCAGCCTTTGGAATACTGTCCGAAGTTTTTACAGGGCTGAGTGACTTTACAATACAATTTACTTTCATGGAGTTTTGCTGTGACGACCTATCCTAAGTTGAAGATATCTTAATTCAAATATGAATTTTTTTTTTTTTAACTAGCTAGCTGTCTCCCACCAAGGTAAAGTGACCCCCCCCCCAAAAAAGAAACACTCTCATTATCACTGACTATGCAGAGGTGTGCAGATACAACAGTTTAGATGTCACTCTAAACAGCAAATATCCCAAACCCCTTCTTTAACCCTCTGGCTATTTCGGAAGTAAATGTACATCTTACGGGAGCAAGGGGCTAGTAACCTCTTCTGTATATATTACTAAATTTAAAAATAGAAACTTTCGTTTTTCTTTTTGGGGCACCCTGCCTTGGTGGGATATGGCCGGTTTGTTGAAAAAAAAAAAATATACATCTTACAAGCCAGTGTTTCGGACGTATATCTACTCAATACTTTTAGCGGCTTTAAATCAAGGAGAAAGCTGGTAGGCCCACATGTGAAAGAATGGATCTATGTGGTCAGTGTGCACTGTATAAAAAAATCCTGCAGTGCGCAGTGCATAATGAGAGAAAAAAAACTCCGACCGCATTTTTGGATTAAAACGCCCTGACTTTAAGGTATATTTTCCTATAGTATTTATGGTTGTATTCTTGGTCTCATTTCATAGAATGGAAAACACATTACAGAAATAGAGATGAGTTCGATTAGTTTCACGATGAAAATGACCTTGAAATTGAGCTCAAAGTAGCGGAAATATTCAATTTTTCCCAATGTTCAAGAGTAAGCAAATCACACCACATGTCCAATACACGTCAATTGGGGAGTATATATACGTCCGAAACACTGGCTTGTAAGAAGTACATATATATATGGCCGAAACAGTCAAAGGGTTAATAAGTAAATAAACAAATAATTACTGTAACTAATTAAATACAAGTACAGTGGGCCCTTGACCAACGATGGCATCGATTAACGATAAATCCGACTAGCGATACATTTTAACGCAAAAATTTTGCCTCAACTAGCACTAAAAAACTTGACCAACACTATTCATTCCGTCTGAGACGCGTCCACTTCTGGGCAGTGTTTACAAGCCAGTCAGCCACCGCGGTCGCTTCCAAGCATATAATCGGAACATTTCATATTATCACAGCCTTTTTAGTGATTGCACCTGCAAAATAAGTCACCATGGGCCCCAAGAAAGCTTCTAGTGCCAACCCTACAGCAAAAAGGGTGAGAATTACTATGGATATGAAGAAAGAGATCATTGCTAAGTATGAAAGTGGAGTGCGTGTCTCCGAGCTGGCCAGGTTGTACACAAAACCCCAATCAACCATCGCTACTATTGTGGGTACGAAAACAGCAATCAAGGAAGCTGTTCTTGCCAAAGGTGCAACTATGTTTTCGAAACTGAGGTCGCAAGTACTCGAAGATGTTGAGAGACTGTTATTGGTGTGGATAAACGAAAAACAGATAGCAGGAGATAGCATCTCTCAAGCGATCATATGTGAAAAGGCTAGGAAGTTGCATGACGATTTAATTAAAAAAATGCCAGAAACTAGTGGTGATGTGAGTGAATTTTAGGCCAGCAAAGGTTGACTTGAGAGATTTAAAGGGAAGGGAAGTAACCCCGGAAAAGGACTTGCCATCTCAAGTTCTAATGGAAGGGGATTCTCCTTCTAAACACTAAGACTATCAACACTCTCCCCTCCTCCCATCCCATCAATCATCACCAGATCTTCAATAAAGGTGTCATGTAACTGTGCATGTCTTTTTCAGTTTGTGTGTATTAAAATTAATATTTCATGTGGTAAAAACAATTTTTTTTTCATACTTTGGGGTGTCCTACACGGATTAATTTGATTTCCATTATTTCTTATGGGGAAAATTAACTTGACTAACGATAATTTTGACTAACGATGAGCTCTCAGGAACGGATTAATAGCGTTAGTCGAGGGTCCACTGTATTGAAAAGTAAATACATATATGAATACAAGTTTATCCTATTAATAAATGATGACTAATGAATGTGCATCATTACTGCACCATCGTAAAATCAAAATATCCTAAGTCAAACCATCATAAAATGAGAAGCCTCTGTACTATTATTATTTCAGTTTATACATCTGTCTAACACTTTGAGGAAAATTACACACAATGAGATCAGTCCTTTAACCCTTTCAAGGTCCAAGGCCCAAATCTGGAGTCACGCACCAGTGTCCAAGAATTTAAAAAAAAAAAATTTGTTATTTTTTCTTATGAAATCGTAGAGAATCTTTTTGTGAAGGTAATAAAACAAAAAGTACGAAATTTGGTGGAAAATTGACGAAATTATGCTCTCGCGAATTTTGATGTGTCAGCGATATTTACGAATCGGCGATTTTGCCGACTTTGACTCCCATTTTAGGCCAATTACATTATTCCAATCAACCAAATTCTTAGCTATTTCACTAGTATTACTTCTATTCTATCGATTGAGCACAAGAAATCGCCAAGTCAACTGTTTCAACTACAAAATAAAGTGATCGGAAATTGTTAATTTGGCCAATTTAACACAAAGTTCAAAATATTCCAATTTCAAAATAGGGTCCAGAATGAACAATGTAGGCATTCCTGGCACTAAACTAACATTTCCTCTGTTCATTAGTTATGTTTTGAGGCTTTACAAATAAATTCCATTTTGATTTTTTATTCACATAATGAATTTTTATTCACACCAAAAAATAGAAGATTTACTGTTATGCAATACTGTAATAATTGTATAAATATCATCACAAACGACGTGTGAGGTCGTTTGTTTACTCTTGAATATCGGCAAAAATTTAACATTTCCGCTACTTTGAGCTCAGTTTCAAGCCATTTCCAATGCTAAAACCAATCAAAATCATCTCTATTTCTGTAATATGTCTTCCATTCTATCAAATGAGACCAAGAAATCGCAAATACAACTATAAAAAACATACGAAAAAACACTGCAAAGTTGCTGTTTTAATCGAAAAATCATGATTTCATTTTTTTCTCTCATTATACACAGTGTGCTGCAGGATCTGTTTTATGTGGTGCACACATACCACATAGATGTATTCTCTCATATCTAGGCCCAAATGTACCACTCACAGTTTATCAGAGTGAGCTGAGCTCATGGCGTAGATCTACGGTTTGGACCCTGAACGTAAAGCTGTAGATCTACGGGACGGACCCTGAAAGGGTTAAGGAATTGCAAAATGAAACCTAGTGGAACATCAAAATACAAATACAGTGGTACCTTGACTTACGAGTGCTCCAACTTAAACAAGTTTTCCGAGTTATGAGCTGTCGCTCAGTCGATTTTTTGCTTTAAGTTGCGAGCCAAAATCCGTTATAAAAGAGAAAAAAAAATTTACTAAAAATGACTTTTGGCAAGAACCCCAGCCTAAATGGCACAACAAGAGGTGGTTTTGGGACTTGGTACTTATAAAACAATGCTAGTGCAATGTTCTCACTGGAGGTAATCGTGTAATTATCTTTAGTTATTCTACAAAAAAATAAAGTTGCTAAGTTTTTGACATTTGCAAAATATCTTGCCCTTTACTCCCACAAAAATCCCAAAATTTTTGGAATATTTCCAATATTCCACAAGCCAATTGCAGAATAATAATTTTTTTATGATTCCTGTCAATATTATTGCATTTACTTCAATAATAAATGGTGAGCTTCATGTAATAAGTCAAAAACTTATTTCTGAGATATTCATATATCACTGCACTAGTGTTCTAGTGCAGTTGGCCTCTCAAAAACTGTTTTCTGTTACCCAGGACCAAAGAACATGGAGGAAGGAGCAGTAATAATTTTATATGCTCGGACTGGTCCTGGACACTCGCCATATTATGGTCTATTTTATTCATTCCAGAGTATATATCACATTTCTATGTTACTTATATGTAGCGTTTATTATGTCATATTAGATCAATTCTGATAGATAAATAAGCCGTAGAGTTGATATTAGCGTTATACTGAAGTATTTTCTCCTGTCCCAGGGGTGTTTTTTGGTGGGCTGGAATGGATTAATGGCATTTCAATTAATTTCAGTGAGGAAAATTGATTTGATATATGAGCAAATTGAGTTACGAGCTCAGTCATGGAATGAATTAAACTTCTAAGTCAAGGTACCACTGTACAGTAATAACTTCTTAGTTTTACTATTGATGTATACAATCAAAATAAAGTTGTTAATACTAAAAAAGATCAAAATCCCGAAAAATTTAAATATGGAAAAGAAAAATTTGATCACAAAGGATAATGCTGAATCAATCAAGGTCCTAATACTATAGCAGATTTCAAGTAAAAAGAATAAATTTACCTCTACAACACGTTCTTGAACTTTTATCTCAGGATCAAGGATAAGAGGTAAGACTCCCTTTATCCAAGTTGTGATAACAGCATCATGCTCAGGGTAATTATTCACCAGAGTTGATAAAGATGTAATTATCTGTTTCCTTACAACCAGTGCTGGGTCCCGACAGTGCTCTGCCAACACCTGAAATATGTTGCCTGGTCAACAAAATTTTCAACCAGCAAAAATTTTCAAACAAAGGATATCCTTTAGCCAGTCTACATCCCCTACCCCTCTAATTTATGGCTTCCCATCCTTTCAACACTGGATCTGACAAGCTTTCTAGTCAACAGGTGCACAAACCATCCAAAACACTGCTGTTCCAGGCCAATCTGCACCTAGCACAAAACTATGCATGCATGAGCTTCAGGGATTACTGGTGTTTACAGAGCTGTCAACTGAAATTTTTAATAGTTTATAGATAATGAAGTGTTCTACACACTGATGTTTAAACATTCTCACTACTGTTTATATATTTTTATGAATTTTCAAAGGAGATTTTTGGATGAATTTTGTTATTTCGATATTTTTTAATTATTTTAAATTATCAAAAACAAAAACTGAAACATCGCAGTCAATTAGGGTGTGCCAATTCAGAGATTGTATACAGTCCTACAATACAGATGGTGGGAAAGAAAATGAAAGGTTTTTGGAGTGTAAAAGAATTTCTTATCAATGACTGCATGGTAACTTTTCAACATAATATCAACATCAATAGTGCTATTATAATGTGGTACTGTGTGTGTGGTGTATTTGGTAAAATACGCTTAATTTTTGAGAAACAAATTAAAAGGAAAAATAAATTTTTCAGTAATTTAAAAACACTTATTTGTAAGTTGATTATAACTTTGCAATTAACCTGAAAAAATTGCCCCTTGTCTTAATATAAGTTTCTACTGAATGTAATTAACTATAGCATTACTATATCAACACAAAAAAAGAAGTAAAACAACAATTGTAACACACCTCCAAGTTCTTCTCAGACAACATCTCATTGTCTAGGCGCATTAGATTCTCCAACACTTGGAGAGCAGACTTCCGAACTGTCACTTTATCATCCAGTGCTCGTCTATGCAACATTGACACAACTCTTGCTGCGTTGGGAAGTTCAAGGTCTCCATCTTCCTCAAGCGCAAGTGGTGACTCAAGGTTTATGTTATTATTTGGAATGTGTGGTGTTGTGAATATCATTGGCCGACTACGGAAGAAAATTTGTTTCATGGCTAGCACTATAGTAGGATTAGTGGAAAAGGTACAATCAGCCAGTAAGGCAAGAGCCTTCGACCGTACAGATGCAGCATTGTCACGACATCTAGAGAAAATAATGCTCAACAAAAATTTGTGAGACAGAATATTACGATCTGGAGGAACTTCAACTGGATGATCTACAGAAACAGTAAGGAAACTAATTTCTTTATCTTTTCCCTCACCTTCACCATTTTCTGAAACTGACTTTAGCTTTGACCTATGAAGATTTTCCTGTACTCCTTCTCTAGGTGTGCCATCAGCTCCTTCAGCATGCCGTTCCTCCTCTCCCAGCATCTTAGAAATCACTTCAAGCATGAACAACCTATGCCCTGCTTTCTCATTGTGAGAGAATTTGAAAAACCACTTCATAAGACGTTTGTAAAGCTGAGTGGGAAGATAACGCAGAATTTCCACTACTGACTGAGCTGTTTTTTGCCGGAATTCTGCCTTATCAGGAACACGGATACAGAGGTGTTGAATGAGAATGTATACGCCTTCATGAGCCTCTTCTTTTATTTGGGTCAACATGTATTTTATAAAAATTTGTGAATGGTCTCGAATGACTCCTAAGGAACGAGCAGATAAATCTGATGATCCACGTGATATCATGAGAATGTTATTCAAAATGTGTTTCATAATAATAGCAATGATTTTTCTAACTTTGCCATGAATAGGGTTACATATAGACTGAAGTGCAACATAGGCATTGTATGATAAAGCTGTCACTGTTGCAGGTCCATGCCGTCCAACAAATATACCCTGAGCATTATGGGTTTCACAACGTGACACGTCAATCAATATACTGATGGTTTCATCCAAAGATTCTGGAGAATGCTTCAATGAGAAAGTGTGTGTCAATCTTAGGAAATCATTAAGGAGAATATTTAATGACCTTTCAGTTTTTTTGTTCATTGGGAAAAACACCTTTTCTGCTTCATCATCTCATCGCTCCCCATTGTTCCCCCTGTGATTGGTCGTGGCTCTGACCCCCCCAAAATGATATTCTGGCGACTTTCCTGGGGCTCGGGGCACGATCTTAATTTTGTAGTAAAACGCAAAAATCAAGCGTTTCACGTACATACAGGATGAAAGACCTGAAAGCATTATACAGGGATACACGAAGCAGAAAATACAAACGGGAAAGCCTGGATCCCCAGCCCCCGGTCCCCTCACGGGCACGTCCTTTTGACCTTATAGAATAGTAAAAGAGTAATCCCATTAAACCTTTCACACCTCAGCAGATCAATAAAACCTGGTGTGCACGTGGGTCCTCAGCCGTACAATTAAAAAAAGACAGCTGTTTTCAAAACCCTCTTGGTGTTGGGGGCAGAGTACCCACCACTGGCGGCAACTCCCGATGACAGCACTGAAAAACCTTCATATTCTGCTGTAGTGATGGTCTTCTTTCCCGTGGTAAATTTTCCCCCTCTGTAAAGGGCCTAATGACATTTTTACCCAATTACGACAAGGTACAAATGGAGAATTTTGACAAAACGGAGCATTCCATCATCCTGGCCTTGTAGCTCCGCCTCTTTTTTGTTTTTGATCATTTGAAAGTGGCGCTCGGGCTCACACCGCTGTATTGAGACCCCCCAGCGCAGCCCCCAAACCCCTTATCAACCCACACTTACACACCTTAATAACTTTATTTGGGTGGGTACTAAATTTTTTTAGGTAAGAAATTTTATTTGGTAAGTAATTTATTTAGGCCAGGTGCACTAGGACAATTTCATATATATGGTAATTAAATAAAACAGTTATCATACATGTGTAAATAAATGTCTTACTTGAGTAAAAAAGTACAGTCATACATGTGTCATTAAGTCAGTCATAAAATGTGTCAATAAGTACAAAAAATTACATGTGAAAAATTTCCCAGGATAATCCAATGTTGGGGGGGCCCCCCCCTGGACCCATTATTGTACCTCTAAAACCTTTGACTATGCTCACAAGAATTCAATTCAAATTTAAATTTAAATTCAAAATTTTCTTAAGGATTACAATGCTGAGTTTACGAATTTGGTTAATGAGTGGTTTTAAAATTGTAAAAAAATGATTTCAGAGTGACCCTGAACACCTGCTGGCTAGGGTTTTTTGGGCAGATTAGTTTAAACTTAATTTTAAAATATTCAAATTATGAGGTAAGTTGGTATTACGGCTAAGGCTAAAAACTAATTTGTGGTTTGCAATTTTTAAATGCTTTTTTTTTGGCACAGTAATAGTTTCGTATTGGGTATAAAGGTTTCATTTTTTTAAGCTGAGATTAATATTTTGTTTATGGCAAAGGGGTGAGGAGTGTAAGTGTGAACCCCCAGGTGGTATTGTGTAATTATTTGACGGGGTGTATCGGGAGATAAGTGTTTTCTAAGGTAGTTTTGAAGGTGATGAATGGGCGCGTTTAGGTTTCGGGTAGGGTTTTCCCAGATTTTTGGGCCCTTTGAAACATTGAATTTTGTAAAGGTTTAGTCGGCAGGGGGATGTCGTAGAGATGTTTGTGTCGGGTGTTATCCCCGGGGTTTCGTCAAAACTATCAAGAAAGCTTTTAGGTCTAGGTGATTTTGGGAGTTTAAGGTCCTGTAGATGAAATTTGCACAGTAGTAAGTGTGGATGTACTGAACAGGGAGAATTTTAGACTTTAAAGAGTGGGGGGGGGGGTTTGGGGGATGGGATTTTTGATTTTTTTAGCAGCTTTTTTTTGGGTTTATTTTTGGGCTTTAGGTGTTTTGCTGCTTTGATCCCAAGCACAAATAGCATAGGTGAAGTTGGATAAATAGTGGGGGTATAGTGTGAAAAGGGCATTTTGGGACATAGTATCGTATTTGGAGAGGAAAACCCCAAACCGTTTTTGGTATTTTTTTGGTTGTTTTTGGATAGGGGTGCTGAAATTAGGTTGTTGTCGGGTTTGGGCCCGGAATTTCCCTCATTATGTCGGGTTTAATTAGAGTGTTGTCGATTTAAGTTAATTTGTGCATCTCCTGCTCTGCTACCAAAAAAATTTAGTAGGTTTTGTCAGTTTTAAGCGAAAGTTTTTGGCTGTCATCCAAGTCGTATTTTGATCGCCCCTCTTTAAACAATGGTGTTGAGGGTGGCAAGATTGGGGTGGGATGACAAAATCGTGTCGTCAGCAAGAGAATGGGTTTCAGGTGTTGGGTTTTCTTTTGGGGAAGATCTTGATGTATATGGGGAAAGGCAGGGGAAAAAGGACCCCCCTGCGGAAACCCCAGTTTAAAGTGGCCTGTTGTTGATGTGTGTCTTTAATGGTGACAATGATACCTTTAGTAAGGGAAGATTTGAAATAAGCAAAGGCTGGCCTCTTTTCCATAAAAGTAAATTTGTGGGAGGATGTGTGGTTGCTGTGAAAAACTTTTCTTAGGTCAATACAATTCCTAGGGATTTCCTTTTTTTCCAATGCTGTGTAAAGCAGATCTAGCTTTTTATGATTTTCTTTGTGCTTTTTTTTTTCCTGAAACAAATGGGCAGGGGTTTTAGTATGTTTTGTGTGTTATAAAAGAATATAGTCTCCCGTGCCGGTTCTCAAAGATTTTGGATGCAATGGAAGTTTGATATTGGCCTATAGTTGTTAAGTTGTGGGTCACCCCTTTATGTATTGGTGTAAACCTTGCCTCTTGAGTAGTTTCGGGAAAGGGGCTAGTTTTAGGACTTGTTAAAAAGTAATGAATAGATGCAAAGGAATGGGTGCTCGCTTGACAGTAATGGAGGGACATGAGACGTTCCCGAGTTATTAATGGACTTTTTAATTCGGTGCTTGTGGGGGTCAGTTGGTGCAAAAAGAAGGAATTTGGGAAATTCCATCTAGGTAGTCCCAGCATGGGCATTTGGGATGTGGGTTTTTTTTTGGCGGATTAGATCCTTGGTTTAGAAGAAGTTTTTTCTTGTTTGTTGTCAGTGGGGTGTAGGGTGTTTCTTAGTTTGTTTTGGACAAAATTTTGTTTTTTTCCAGTTTGTGGGTCTTAGAATCTGAGAGAGGTTTTCCAGGTTTTTTTTTTTTATTTCCCCAGGTTTTGGGAATCTACTGGAGTAGTATAGTTGTTGGCTTTTTTTTTTTTACTTTTGGTGAGAATGATGAAAAGTGTTTTAAGGGTAGGGGTGCATAATAAAATATTAAATAACCAAAGTAAGTTTTTTTAGGTACAGGTACACATAAATACAAATTTTCATATATAGAACATATGTTAAATTACTAGGGGCAACAGAAAAAAAAGTCAAAAATGCTTATTTCCAATGAAGTCATAATGGTCTTTGGCAGACCCCAGTGGACATTATTAAATCACTAGGAAGAAATATTAATCATTTCATATTTTACAATTACTTTACATACCTGATGTACACAATACAATATGGGATAGTCTCAAAAAGATATAAATCTTAATCACTGCTTACCAGCCCTCCCTACGATCCTGCGCCTCTCAAGGAAGGTTCCTTGATGCTGGTGAGGGGCTCTTGATCTAGGGAACTGGATCTGTGCTCCAGTTCCCTGAATTAACCTTGAATATTCAACCTTCCATGCCCCTACAGGCGCTGTATAATCCTACGGGTTTAGCGCTTCCCCTAGATTATAATAATAATAATAATACTACCCTGCGACGAAGACGAGATTTTGTTAATAATAATAATAATAATAAACACGCTAGATAACAGAGATATCTTGCTACTCCTACTTACACTTTGATCACACTTCACAGACACGCACATGCATATATATATATATATATAATATATATATATATATATATATATATATAATATATATATATATATTATATATAATATATATATATATATATATATATATAAATATATATATATATATATATATATATATATATATATATATATTATATATATATATTTATAATATATATATATATATATATATTATATATATATAATATACAAATAAATATATATATATATATTATATATATATATATATATATATATATATATAATATATATATATAAATATATATTATATATATATATATATATATATATATATTATATATATATATATATATATATATATATATATATATATATACATACATCTAGGTTTTTCTCCTTTTCTAAATAGCTCTTGTTCTTCTTTATTTCTTCTATTGTCCATGGGAAGTGGAAAAGAATCTTTCCTCCGTAAGCCCATGCGTGTCGTATGAGGCGACTAAAATGCCGGGAGCAATGGGCTAGTAACCCCTTCTCCTGTAGACATTTACTAAAAAAGAGAAGAAGAAAAACTTTATAAAACTGGGATGCTTGAATGTGCGTGGATGTAGTGTGGATGACAAGAAACAGATGATTACTGATGTTATGAATGAAAAGACGTTGGATGTCCTGGCCCTAAGCGAAACAAAGCTGAAGGGGGTAGGGGAGTATCGGTGGGGGGAAATAAATGGGATTAAATCTGGAGTATCTGAGAGAGTTAGAGCAAAGGAAGGGGTAGCAGTAATGTTGAAGGATCAGTTATGGAAGGAGAAAAGAGAATATGAATGTGTAAATTCAAGAATTATGTGGATTAAAGTAAAGGTTGGATGCGAAAAATGGGTCATAATAAGCATGTATGCACCTGGAGAAGAGAGGAATGTAGAGGAGAGAGAGAGATTTTGGGAGATGTTAAGTGAATGTATAGGAGCCTTTGAACCAAGTGAGAGAGTGATTGTGGTAGGGGACCTGAATGCTAAAGTAGGAGAAACTTTTAGAGAGGGTGTGGTAGGTAAGTTTGGGGTGCCAGGTGTAAATGATAATGGGACCCCTTTGATTGAGCTTTGTATAAAAAGGGGGTTTAGTTATAGGTAATACATATTTTAGGAAAAAGAGGTAAATAAGTATACAAGAATATGTGTAGGGCGAAATGACAGTAGTTTGTTGGATTATGTATTGGTAGATAAAGACTGTTGAGTAGACTTCAGGATGTACATGTTTATAGGGGGGCCACAGATATATCAGATCACTTTTTAGTTGTAGCTACACTGAGAGTAAAAGGTAGATGGGATACAAGGAGAATTTGAAGCATCAGGGAAGAGAGAGGTGAAGGTTTATAAACTAAAAGAGGAGGCAGTTAGGGTAAGATATAAACAGCTATTGGAGGATAGATGGGCTAATGAGAGCATAGGCAATGGGGTCGAAGAGGTATGGGGTAGGTTTAAAAATGTAGTGTTAGAGTGTTCAGCAGAAGTTTTTGGTTAAGGAAGGTGGGTACGGGAGGAAAAAGGAGCGATTGGTGGAATGATGATGTAAAGAGAGTAGTAAGGGAGAAAAAAGTTAGCATATGAGAAGTTTTGACAAAGTAGAAGTGATGCAAGGAGGGAAGAGTATATGGAGAAAAAGAGAGAGGGGTAAGAGAGTGGTAAAAGCAATGTAAAAAGAGAGCAAATGAGAGAGTGGGTGAGATGTTATCAACAAATTTTGTTGAAAATAAGAAAAAGTTTAGGAGTGAGATTAACCAAGTTAAGGAAGCCTAGAGAACAAATGGATTTGTCAGTTAAAAATGGGAGAGGAGAGTTATTAAATGGAGAGTTAGAGGTATGGGAAGATTGAAGGAATATTTTGAGGAATTGTTTAAATGTTGATGAAGATAGGGAAGCTATGATTTCGTGTATAGGGCAAGGAGGAATAACATCTTGTAGGAGTGAGGAGAGAGCCAGTGGTGAGTGTGGGTGAAGTTCGTGAGGCAGTAGGAAAAATGAAAGGGAAGTAAGGCAGCCGGGTTTGATGGAATAAAGATAGAAATTTTAAAAGCAGGTGGGGATATAGTTTTGGAGTGGTTGGTGCAATTATTTAATAAATGTATGGAAGAGGGTAAGGTACCTAGGGATTGGCGAGAGCTGCATAGTTCCTTTGTATAAAAGGGAAAGGGGACAAAAGAGAGTGCAAAAATTATAGGGGGATAAGTTTGTTGAGTGTACCTGGTAAAGTGTATGGTAGGTTATTATTGAAAGAATTTAGAGTAAGACGGAGAATAGGATAGCAGATGAACAAGGAGGCTTTAGGAAAAGGGAGGGGTGTGTGGCCAGGTGTTTACGTGAAACACATAAGTGAACAGTATTTAGATAAGGCTAAAGAGGTCTTTGTGGCATTTATGGATTTGGAAAAGGCGTATGACAGGGGGATAGGGGGGGGGCAATGTGGCAGACGTTGCAGGTGTATGGTGTAGGAGGGAGGTTACTGAAAGCAGTGAAGAGTTTTACGAGGATAGTGAGGCTCAAGTTAGAGTATGTAGGAAAGAGGGAAATTATTTCCCAGTAAAAGTAGGCCTTAGACAAGGATGTGTGATGTCACCTGGTTGTTTAATATATTTATAGATGGGGTTGTAAGAGAAGTAAATTCGAGGGTCTTGGCAAGAGGTTGTGGAGTTTTAAAAAATAAAGAATCACACATAAAGTGGGAGTTGTCACAGTTGCTCTTTGCTGATGACACTGTGCTCTTTGGAGATTCTGAAGAGAAGTTGCAGAGATTTTGGGGGATGAATTTGGTAGGGTATGCAAAAGAAGAAAATTAAAAGTGAATAAAGGAAAAAAAGTAAGGTTTGAGGATAACAAAAAGATTAGGTGATGAAAGATTGGATATCAGATTGGGGGAGAGGGTATGGAGGAGGTGAATGTATTCATATATTTGGGAGTGGAGTGGGCAGCGGATGGGGCTATGAAAGATGAGGTGAATCATAGAATTGATGAGGGGAAAAGGGTGAGTGGTGCAATTTGGGGTTGTGGAACAAAGAAATTTTCCCCTTGGAGGCCAAAAAGGGGAATGTATGGGTATAGTTTTACCAACGCTTTATATGGGTG